TCCAATACTCTCAGCACATGGGAGTTCTTTCTAAGCTTTCTTTGATTTTCTATGATTTACATTCAACTCACCAAAAATTAGTGGAAGAAGTTTTTTAGTGGGATAATAAGATGATATACCTATAAAGTAAAAAACAGTTCATTTTGATTAACATGTGTCAAAAAACTACCAAATCCTTCAAAAAGTGTGATCTTTACATGCTGTATTTACAACAATTTTCTCTAGGACCGAATTATTGCACTGCCTGTTGAGTTTTTAAGCCCAGAAGTTTTACTTGGCGCTGATACCGCTACACAGTTTGATGTTGACTGTGATGTCAGAAATAATATCATGAAGTGAGTATTTCATTATTATTATTATTTTGTGGTAGTCATGAGCTGACAGTAAGAGCATGTTTGTTATGAATGTCTTGCTGTAACCAGATCATAAGAATAAGAACTCTCTGCTGCTGCTGCTATTAAATATACCTTTATGTGTCCAAATCAAATACACATGAATGCAATGACCTCAGTCTTTTGAGGTTTTCATATGACATTGACTGATAATTTATTTCTCACCTTAGTTCGACTGGTAATATTGAATTCTGCCTTGAGCAAGTTTTTATACTGACCACCAATTACTTGCAAGGTGCTTTGCCATGTGACTGTGACTTGGTCGGGAGTTATAACAATTTATGTGATGAATACGGTGGCCAGTGTGCTTGTAAAACTGGTGTAGGGGGCAGAAGATGTGATATGTGTTTGCCAGAATACTATGCATATTCTAGTACTGGGTGTCAACGTAAGTATATATACTACAACAATGTTCTTTCAAGAATTCCGTATATTCATTCGCATATAAATTTACATAACTTGTGCACATCATTTGCATAATAAAAATTATATAGTTTTGCCAATGAAATCTTGCAATTTTATCTTATCCCATTGTTGCACGTCTTTGTACTGTTATTTGACAGTGAATCCACTATATATACCGGTATATACACTAGTATTTGACAATGAATGCCGGTGCATTCAGGTGGCACAAGTTACAGATTGTAGTGTGATTATTGTACCACATATGATACATGCATTACTGAATTACTTAATAATAATTCTAATTTTTATCTTAAGTTTTATAAAGAAAATAAAGTGTTGTTCTTTTCCTTTCATGTTTTAAAGAGAGTCCCTGTGGAATAAATATCAAGAAATCAAGTTTACCGGTACCTAGAAATAATTAGCATAATTAATTAATTAATTAATCAATTCTAAATAGAGTTATAGAGATGTTTTTATGTTCAACAGAAGTAATATTTGTTGGTATATATGTACTTTTATTGGAGATGCATTTCAAATAGAGCACATACTTCAAACTTTATACTTTAGTATAAGTACAAATTAATTTAACATTAGATCTTATTTATAATGGCAGTCAAGACCTTGTTGCGTCATCCAACTCAAATAGATTTCTATTCTTTATTGCTATCACGTTAAATTTTCCACATTATAGTGGCCATTTTGTATTGCTACATTGGTCAATGGATGCTAAATAAATTGTGATGATTGTTTTGTTTTTGTTCATTCACAGCTTGTAACTGTTTTAATGATGACAAAGTATGTAATATGTTAACTGGTCAATGTGATTGTCCACCCAATACTGTGGGACGTAATTGTGATCGTTGTGTGACATACACCTATGGTCTCAACTCAACCCATGGATGTACAGTAAGATATAGAATTTAAAATAATTAACAAAATGCTTTTAATTGCAATCATATGCTGGGTTATTTTAATTTTGATCCCTGGTGACTTGTTGTTATAGTATCATTTTCTTGTTTATGCAGTTACTACACTACAATACATATGTTCTTGGCATCTATATTTAACCAACATTATTTCATTTACCTCATATGTTGTTTCAATGAATAAGAACAATAACACTTTTTTGGTTTACATAAATTATTCATTTTAGCATTCAAAGATTCATTCATACATAAATTTATTTGCAGCCTTGTAACTGTGATGTTGAAGGTTCATCTAATCTTCAATGCGATGCTGTAACCGGTGAATGTGCTTGTCAGCCTGGTGTTGATGGAACTACAAGTAGTGCAGAAGGCGCTGGTAAATGTACTGAATGCAAAGATGGATTTAAATCATTTACTCTGATTGGCTGTGAACCATGTGACTGTAGTCTAGATGGAAGTGTGAATATAGCATGTAATAAAACAAGTGGACAGTGTCCATGTAAGGTGAGTTTATCATGCTTGAAAATATAATCAATGTTAATCTATCAAGTGCAAACAGAACATAGTGGTATCACAAACAAACAATCTTAGTCTATCATTCCTTTTAATTTCAAATAAAGTGTGCCCTCTATGGTGACAATTACAGTTTGACATCACAGAGAGTTACATGTACGTACATTTCCAATATCATGTTCATTTATTCTTCATATCCAATGTATGAATTAAAAATTATTGAATTTGCAATTTTCAAATTCCCCGCCATCTAGT